TCTTGTTGTCTGCAAACTGCATGCAAGTATAGGGTACTTGCGTCTTAATGGCTGGTTTTACATCATAAATGTTTCACTGTTTCCTGCAAAAACCTGACTTGTTGCCCGCAAAATGCACGTAAGTACAGGGTACTTGAGCCTTATTCAGGGGTCGTGTTATGAGGTGTTATCGTTTCCACTAGAGCAATGGCAAAAAAACAAAATGTCCTCCACATTTAGATCATCTTGGCTGCTAGATCTAGTTGCTCTAAGAAAACAGCAATGTGACCAGGCTGGAACTGTGTGCTGTGCTTGCCCAGTTCACAATAATACTGCAGAGAGTTGACTAAGAATATCTGTAATATCATCTGGTTGGGTTATTGTGAGAAAGACCCTGCTGTCTTGGCCCTACTTTCCTGCAAAAATCCCCTGAATTCTGGCCCACGCTGCCCACAACAAGAGACAGAGTATTCTATTAAAGAAAACCCACTGCTATAAACATTTTTGTTTTAAAAAAAAGTTGGTAAGAGAAACAAAAAGTAACAAAAGTGTTGTGAGAACAAGTATATTTCCACAATAGGAGTTAGAATAAATATTTGGCTTTGGTTATAGTAATGGCTTTATGGTTACTTTAACTAAAAGTAAATGTAAGCCAATATGTCAAAACATGTTTTGCTGTTATGTCCTTGAAAGTTTGTTATGTTCATTTTTTTGGGGGAAGTGTCCACTGTTTTCTGTTTTGGTTTCTATTTTTCAGATTCAACACTGTGTGTGGTTTACACAATACCCTCTGTGCTGCTACTGATGAGTGTTAGTTATTTATTCTTTATAAGTTCTATAAACAACTTATAATGTTCCAGGGTTAAAGGTATCATATATACTCACAGACCTTTACACAATAATGTGTAAGTTAAAATAACCACATGTATTTTTGTATGTTTTCAGCAACTGAGGTCACTGTGAGCAAATTAACCCCAAGTCAAACACCTCAGAGTAGGTGATGGGTGCAGCAAGAAGTGGAAGAAAACTGAAGTCCTAAGTCTTAATAGGGTAGTGGGCCTACAACACATTTAATTATGAATATATGGGATACAAGAAAACTTGATTTGCTGTTAGTTGTGTTTAATATGCAAATTTTGTTCAGCATGTGGCACAGCTGGATGCTCATTATATCTCCTATTTTTATTAAATATCTGCACATTTTTCTTTTTAACACTGAGGAATGAAACTCCAACTTGACTCACTGGCAGAGGTTTGCAACTGTAAGTCAATAATCCTACTTTGCCTGCAGTGATATGTAGGGGAGGGAAATCCAAAATGTGTCCATCAGTAATCAAGGTCCCTGCAGCATGCACTGTTCATTGGTCTGTGTTTTCTTTGTTGAGCAGTTATATGCAGTTATTCAAACCCATCCAGCCCTTTCCTCTAAAACAACTTCCTTCCTTTTTACTGGATATTGTGTCACAGTGAGCCTCCTGCTGGTGTTAGTGCAACACTGAATACAGTGTTTATAGTGCAATATTTGAAATAAATGTAGACTTCAGATTGCATCACCCAATAATTGGTATTGTGTTGGTTTCTTATATGTTAATTATAAAGCTTGTTATTAAATTTACTAACTTTATGAAATGATGACGTAAATGACGGAGGATGGAGTATACCAAAGAAATTGTAGGTATATTAGTAAGAGTAATTTTCTGGGATGAACATTTATTGACTTCCGGATGACAAAAAAAAGATGTAGATAAAAGACAAAGGATGTTCCCCTTTTTAATAAATAAGTATAGACAAATATTATAGATATCTCTATTAAATTTGAAAAATGACTTTAGTTGAAAACATAGACCCTAAAATATATAAAATTACCTAGCACAGTGTTTACACTAATTCTTAACTGTCAGCATGTTACTTTAATAGAAAGTCAATCAATAAAACGTATCTAATTGTGACAAAAAAGATTGCAGATTTTCCTCAGTGCTGCAACATTTGAATATAATTGACTCTTATTTTTTTGTCCACCAAAGGGTATGAATATGTAATCCTTTTTCATTTTTATGTTTGCTTGTTTGTCCATATGTCTTGTTTTTTAACATATCATATTCAAATTTTGCATGATGGTAGATACCAATAAACACGCAACTTTTTTCATTCAAATTTTTGCACAATATTTCTGGACATCAGGTGATTAAATGTCAATAATTGAATGTTGGATGGGTGTGAGGGCAGATGTCATCTCAGAAGATCTAACACCCAGAAAGAGAGGGGGAGAGAGTGGGAGAACGGATGACCAGGTGATAAATGTTTTATGGAGAGCAGAAAAGTGGTTCTCCCCTTTGTCTTCTGCAAGGTGAGTAGTGTGGAAGATTTTTACTTCTTCACTCTAGATACTGTAGTTGCTGTGAAAAAGAGCCTCAAATCAGAAGTACTTGACTCCCTGGTATAACTCTCAAATGTGCACCTTAAAACAGATAACTCATAAGCTGGAGAGGAAATGCGGTCTCACTGGTGGATGAAAGAGTGAAAAAGTGTGCCATCCTATGATATGATATTATCACAATACTTCACTCATGATATATTATTCTAATTTTTAACATTTTGTGATATCCTGAGCAGCCTCCCTGTTCTGTATTCTCCCTGTATTCTGATGACCAGAATACAACCAGCTGGAAGCCAAGTTAGTCAAGTCTTCTCAAATTGTGCACACTGACAAAGACTAATTTTTATCTGCTAGAAACACATTGGCAATCTGTCTGAATTTATAGTATTTGTTTCATTTTTTTAGAATGAAAATCTCTCTAAAAGTGAATGCAATGAGTCCAAGTTAGTTATGTGCCTCTGTCAGAAGATCTGTCCAATCACCTTGTATTAAAAAGTGGCGATCCACTGGACAACCATTTCATCACCACAACTTGCAATCGGTTGGAGAATAGGAAAAAATTTAGTACAGTCACAAGCCAGACACAATTTTTGTTGTTTTTTTTGTTTTAGTTTTTTTGTCGTTCAGATGAAAGGAGATCCAGGGCCTAGTTTTATTTTAGTGTGACAGAGCAATAGCTTGCTTTGAGTTAGGAGGTAAGTTTGGCAAGACAAGTGTGTTGGATGCCTTTTTGATTGAGCTGATATAATCTGTTTGCTCACCAAACATTATTTCAGGGGGTGCATGAGATGAGCCCTACATTATTCCAAGAGAATTTTTAATTAAAAAAAAAATATATATATATATATATCGGTATTTGGTGTCCCTGTATCAATATAATATCACCACATAAAATCACAATGTTATACTGTATAAAATTTCCCCCCACCCCTACTAAATATAGTTAAATACTATTACTCTTTTGATTCAAGACTTTTCATTTATAGCACTTCTTTCACCACTAGATGTCATATGTCAGCTATTTTACAAACTATTAAAATACCGTTATATGAACTTCCATCTAAGAATGTTGATGTCCTGATAGTCTAGCTCCACCCCTCCCCTCATATTGCTATGACATGAAATGACCCTAGTGTCTGCACAAGCTTTTCAGTACTGACAATATTTCCTGTTACGTTTCTATTTCGATGAGCAAAGATGTGGAGCATTCAAAATCTGCTGTTCATCTTCTGCAGTAAGTAATTTGAATAAGTAAACAGATAAAGATTAAAGTCAGCTGTATACTAACAAATAAATGTATGTTTTAGTATTAAGCAACAGTAAGTGAAGCTCTGTATTGGTCATATTTCTTTATACAGCACTAAATTAGTTAGTAAGAAAGCTGACCTGACAAAGTAAAACATGATCTTTTCACATTATATTTTTTCTTCTTAGTTTCTCTGAGATGTGTGACCAGTGCAGTGGGGATGATCCATGTGACTGGATATGTGGGGAGAGAGGTTAATGTCTCTTGCTCCTATGATCAGAGTTATGTATCTCATGAGAAGTACCTATGTAAGAACGGCTGTGGCAGCAGTGATGTTCTCATTACAACACCACAAGCAAGCAAAACCAAATACTCAATTTATGATGACAACAGTGCACGAATCTTCACAACAACTATCTTTGATCTTCAATCTACGGATGCTGGAAAATACTGGTGTGGGGTGACGATAAGACGACGAACAGACATCTACACTGAAGTCGAGCTGAAATTAGTACAAGGTAAAAAGAAAAGAAAAAAAAAAAGTGGCTTTGCAAAAGTCAATTATAGATTGATAGTGAGAAGATACCATAACAAATAAAATTAAAGGTAAGGACTTCAGTTTCAGGCTAATAAAAGTTTGTATTTCTTTAAATATACGGATATACAGACACAGCAGTGTAGTGTACTTTAATGGTCCGGCATTTCACTACATGTCGTACTGTCTACGATTATGTGTGTGACAAATAAAATTTGAATTTCTTTAAACAGTGGTATGTGAGTGCAGGACTATCTGTATTGTTTGCTGCAAAGTTGACCTTCTGTAAAACTGCACTTTAACTTGGAAAAAGCACTTAAGTCTTATTTGTAATAGTTTTGTGGCTGTAACGTATCTTCTGGTGTTGTTTATTGTTTACCTTCTTGACAGACAGATGCTGTGACACTGTGACCAAAGTTCAAAGTTATGAGGGATACTCTGAGTCTGTCAGTTGTCCGTATGAGTCTCAGTATCAGAACAGCCTGAAGTACATCTGCAGAGGAAACCAGCCCTCCACATGTCTGCAGCAGGCACTGATCACCTCTGACACCAAACAAAATGGGCGATTCAGACTTGATGATGACAAAATGTTAGGAACATTCACAGTGACCATTAACAGTTTGACTCGTAATGATTCAGGGTCATACCTCTGTGGTGTTCAAAGAAACTCTGAGCTGGATGTTTTCTCTGCTGTTGAGCTGGAAGTTGAAGGTAAAAAAAATCACAGTAATAGCTCTTTACACCAGCGCCAAGAAGACATTATTTGCTGTCAAATAGTCTCTAAGAAACTTAAATATTTGATTATTCGAAAATAATGTTTCTCTTTCAATCTGACAGAGTGGTGCTGTGTCAACTCAACTAAAATGAATGGTACTGCAGGAAATCCACTAACTCTGCAGTGTCCTTATCCTCCACAACACTGGGATAACAGGAAGTTCCTATGTAAGGGAGACCACCGCAACAAATGCACAGACATGGTGACGAGTCGAAGCAGGTTCACACTGCAAGATGATGCTGCTTCCAGCTCTTTCACAGTGAGGATCACAGAGCTGAAAGTAGCTGATACTGGGATATACTGGTGTGGGTCAGACTCACTGTGGGGAGTTGGAAATTACATCAAGATTGAGCAGTCAGGTATGCTGGACACTTTTGTGTAAGATAATACAATTTAAGCCACGCGTTTGTTTTATGTCAGTTCATGTTTTAGGTCAGTTCCGCTATCTGAAGAGTGCAGTAAAACTAAAACTCTCAATATGATGTTCACACTCAGCACAAAAAATAGAGGCACAAGAAATAGAACTACCGAGAGCCTCACTTACCACAGGTGGTCTGAGTCTACAAAAGTATTTTTGTCCTTCTAAGCAGTCATATTCTAACTTCCACTATACAATCAATCCTCGCATTTGTAATAAAACTTAGTTGTAACAACCCCATAAATGGCTTATTTCATGTAAATTTCGTTCAAATCTGAACAATTTGCATATTTAAGTGAAAACGCTACATCCAGATGAACAGAATCAACTTTTGGAGATTTACTTTCCTGGATGATTGAGAATGCATCAAGACGATCTAACTGTATTCTATTACAGTTACCATTTAAATGGATGGTAATCAGAATACAGTTACTTTGTTGAAATAAATAGAATACACGGCAGTCATTTCCTGTGTCATATGTTAGGCTAGCCCCTCTCTATGCCTTCTCCAAATTTGGTGACTAAATGCAGTCGGGGGTAGGTTTAACTCAGTTGGCTAAGCATGTAGTCATACATTGCATGGCTGAGAACAGGTGGCCTGGGTTTGAGTACGACCCACGCCTCTTTTCTTTTTAAAAATTTAAGCTCAATTTCCATCGGGGATTAATACAGTTTCTCTGATTCGGATTGCTGGAAACCCAAACAAAACACCCAATAAGAGGCTCTAAATTAAGCATCCTGTTAATGTTGGTGGTGTAAGTTACACAATGGACCCAGAGCCAGCAGTGCATGGGCAGGAATGCACTTCCAACACCACTACATAAGAAGAATGGGATGGGCAAAACTTCAGTACCGTCGATGTGCTATGCTGTGTGATTTTTATTACTATTAATGAAGGGTACTCGCCACCAAGCTAACATTGTTAGCTGAGGTTAGTTCATAGACTGCAGACTGTTAGGAAGCTTCTCAAAGTTAAGCACTTTGGCAAAATTCGCTGTTTCTGTCACGGTTTGTGGGGCAAGCTGTGTTGAGGTATGAATGAAGGACCCAAAGTGCAGGCACTGGCTGAGATATGAGTGAGCTTTATTTAAGGAGACTGACATACAACCAAAAGAAAGGGCGCGAGAAAGAGAACTAAGAAATAATCTAAACTGGGAAAGCTAAGAACTAAACAACAAACCTCAATACGAGGGTATGGAGAGCAGAGGTAACACGAAGAACGACAAGGAGGGAGAACAGCATGGAGGGATACAGAGTGACTCAGGGAAACAACACAGATGGACCAGAAACAAGCACAAGAGGACACACACTATAAATAACAAGGAAACTGCACAAAGGAGGGAGACACAGCTGAACCTAATTGACATGACGAGACAGGAAGGACGCAAACTAAATACACTGACACCAAATAAAACAGGAAACATACACTGACAGAACTCAGAGACATGAAACTGACAGAGCAGAGGGAACACACAAGCAGGGATGACTGGACACTAAACCAAGGAAGAACAGAAACCAAAACCAAAAAAGGAAAGTCTCAAACAGAATACCTAATAATAATAAGAAGAAACACAAAACGCTGCCTCAAAAGACCCAGGACCATGACAGTTTCATAATGTCTAATAAGCTTCATACAGTTAAGCGCAATCACTACATGACAGAAACACAATCTAATCTCTCTTAAATCAGGTTCGATCCTTGGCTGCATGCCAAATATCCTTGGGCAAGATACTGAACCCCAAATTGCTCTCCGATGCATGCATTGGAGTGTAAATGTGTGCTGGTATTAAATAGAAAGCATTTAATCATAGAAAACAGTGCTGGTGTGAATGGGTGAGTAGAAAAGGCCAACGCCTCCTTACCCAGACAATATGGAACAGACTGCACACAGCCACTCTCTCGTCTCATAGTGCTGTTTGCACTGGTGGCAGCAAAATGTGCACTTGAGCCTTAACATGTGGAGGAACATCATGTTCATCAATCAGTGCAGATTCTGCTTTCGGGACTCGGGTCATAGGATTAAGTTATGGAGAAGATATAGAGAACATTACAGTAATTCCTGCACACTTAGGGTAAAAGGTTTTGGTGGAGGCAGTGTGATGGTGTGTGCAGACTTCTGTCATCATTGGAGGAGAATATAATCCACATGCTATAACTTGTTTTGACTAGCCACATATTAAAGACAGTAAAGCATTCTTTTTATATAAAAGAATGTATAACATTTGTTTTGTTGAAATTATTTTAATCAGTAAGTCATATCTGATTAAATGTTTTTTTTTACTAGACATTGTAAAAAGATAGAAAAAACAAAGTCTGACTTGAAATGAATGTGGTAACAACACTAAGAATCTTCTTCTCTTACAGTCTTTTTGCAGCACACCAGAAAAATCCCAGGTAAAGCTATTATAGAAAATATAAACTCCATATGTGTTTCTGTTAGTGTGCACGCCAGCTGAGAAGTGTTGTGAGACCAAGTACCTTTTCACATTCAAGGTTAACATTTGGTTTTGTTTATGGTTTCATGGTTACAGTACATGAAGTAAGTCTATGTCACACTGAAATCTTAAAACATCTGTGAGTTTGTGTTAAGTTAAAATAAACATAACTATTAACGATAAGAAAAGTGAACATGAAAGCATAGTGAAGGGCCACATTTCTGCTCTTAAGTTATTATCGTATTTTTCGGACCATAAGGCACACCGGATTATAACAGTCAGATAAGTCAAACTTTACTCAACTCATTTTTTGTACTTTCTCGGTAAAGCAGCAACACTGCTTTACTTCTTCTTTATTACAGAAGAAATAATTTAGACAGATTTTGACTCTCAGTGATGCCGCAGTGTTCGTTTGACTTTTGGACCTGAAGTGGAGTTTAGTCCCGGATTACTCCGCGAAGCTCCTAACTACGGTGTCCGTAAAGTTCAGACAATCCATCAATTGGTGCGGCTTCGTAGCTTACGAAAGTCGTACTACAACATTTTTTGACAGATTTTTGAGCGCTGTGTACCACATAAAATTGGTTCAAGGTCAGTAAGCACAACCAAAATTCATACATAAAGCGCACCAGATTATTAAGCGATTTTTGAGAAAATTAAAGGATTTTAAGTGCGCCTTACAGCCTGAAAAATATGGTAAGTGTTTTGGAAAGTGTTTACTTTTATTGTCTTCTCTTTTGGTTTCTGTTTTTCAGATGCAGCACTCTATGTGGTTTACACTGTACCTCCTGTCCTGCTACTGATGTGTCTCCTAGTTACGATTTATAAGAACAGATGCTCAAGAGTTAATGGTATCTTTTACAGTCATGTACACATGGACATGCTTGCACTCAAATATAGATGCAAATATAGATGCAAATGAAGTACAACCACTATGTATACTATGTATTTTCAGAAGCCGATGACACCATGAGCAGAAATACACCCAAGGGAAAAAACATAGAGGAAGTGATGGGGGCTGCAGAAAGTGGAGTAAGAAAACTAAAGTGTAAAGCATTAACAGAGTTGTATGCATAAAATATAAAAATATAAAAGAATTTGGTACAATTGGAATTTGTAATTATGTGTACATTGTTATTTTTGATGCTGACACAATGATAGCAACTTGATGTGGGAATGCAGATAAAGGTCCTGCTACAGCTATGAACAGCCTCACACAAGCTGTAGTGTGGCTACAATGGTGGAATAACTCAAGGGCAGTGAGATGACTAAGATTGCAATTGGAAATTGAATCATTTCTTTGAATGGAGTTTCTTCTTTTTTCTCAATTTTTTTTTATTTGCTTTATGTCTTTTATATTATGCGCATATTATGCCACCATCTAACACAAATGAATAACAGAAAAAATATGTTATATGCTGTAACTCTGCAGCAGAATAAACTGTTGCAATTTGTCACAGCTTAGGTGATTGTATAAATCAAGGTTTCTCTGAGCTTTCATGGCTGGGTGCTAATTAACCAAGTGATTGAGAACCATGCAGCTAATTCACACAACAAAAGAGAAGTGCTCCCTTTGCCTGTTTTTAATGTGGCTTTGACTGGTGATAAATAAGTGTATTACACTGGGGCACTTAAGAGTGGCTCTTAAAAAACGTACTATATTATGTGCCGTTACATTCATTATCCTTAATTGTAATTCCTTCAGAATGGTTTCTATATTATGGTTATTATAAATCTGGACATGAATGCATACTGCAATGAGTCTCACTGTCAGAGATACACAACAGAAAGCAGCTACTCTGCCTATAGTGTTAGAGTAGAAAAAACACTTTTCCAACATATGTCCATCATAACCCAGATCTGTGCAGCTTGTGGGGTGACTAAACTCATGTATTGGCTGGACTTAAACAACCAAAGATATAGAATTCATGTGGTGCTGATAATGTAAGTATTCATGTTTTAGAATCTGTTTCTTTGCAACATCTCTATTTTTAATATTGTTGTTTTGTTCTCCCAGTCTTCTAAACAAATGACATTTATAACTTGTAGTTGTATTTTCTTCAGTTTTCATATGTCTGGAGTCTGGACAGGCACATATGTACACTGCAACTTGTCTCACTGGTGAAAGCATGAGGCTATTTTGGCTACAGAGCTAGTGTAGACAACATTTTTTTCAAAATGTTTCCATAACAACACAGATTTCTGCAACATGTGTCATTAATTGTTCTGTTTATTGTGTGTTGATTCATCTTTAGATTTATAAAAATCAAGAAGTTGTGATGACATACGTACAGCAAAAAGTCTGCAAAGATGGAGGTGGAGAGGAAGGCGTCTATGAAATCATGACCGCAAACGCAACAGAAGACATCTACTGTAATGAAAATTTCCATAAAGCCAACAGAAGATAAAAGAGTTTGTATCTGTGATCCATATCTTTTCTTTCATTAATATTGCTTAAAGTGTTCATAAAAATATTTGCTCTTTTTCTATAAACTGTGGAAACCCCTAAATTTAAATGATCAACATGAGTGTAACGTGAAAAAAATCATTTTCTGGTCACAATATGTCAGTTTGTGGTTGGTTGGTTTGTTGGTTGGTTGGTTGGTTTGTTTTTTTCCCAAAATCAGTGCTTTTTACTGACTGGAGTATACGTATGGTAATGCTGTTTACTTAAGAGTTCAAAAATGTACTTTTACAAAGCAACTGATCAGATGTGTTTTTCATCAGTGATGCTGTGATGTGTTAGTGTAACTCTGAATACAGTAATTATGGTGCATAGATATACTGGACAAGACATCAGATTGTATCACTCATTAGTTTGAAATGGACTGGTCTTCGTGTATGTTAATTGCAAAACTTTTTTAATTTGCTATTTTATACTGTTTTTCATACTGTCAATGTTTTGTATACCTATGATATGACAGAGGATGGAGTGTGGCAGAGAAGTTATAAATATATTAATAAGAACATGTACAACATAAATTGTTTAAAGTTTCTATTTTTCAGGATAACCATTTTTGACTTTCCAGATGTATGCTTATTTTATTAAAGACCTGTCACATGATGTTAACAAAAAAAACAGTTGCTGTCCACACTTAGTGCCTTTGTTTCTCTTATTAAATGAACAAAACTGTGAACAAGTTTTGGGATGTTTAAAAATTAAAGGAACGCTTTGAAAATTCATCAGATTGACTTATTTTATTTAAAAGAAAATCCATTTTAAAATAAAATACTGTGTAGTCTGTAGCTCAGAAAGTGGATCAGGTCATCTAGTAATCGAATGTTTGGTGTGCCTCAATCCCTGGTTGCCCTAGTCTGCATGCCAAATATTCTTAGGCAAGATATTAACCCTAAGTTGCTCTCTGGTGCACTTACCTAAAAAACAAACATAGAAAAAAGTGCTTGTATGAATGCACTCGAGCGCAAAGCACAAGGCTCGAGTGTAGCGAAAAAAAGTGCGAGAGAGAGGGTGAGAGAAAGAAAAAAAAACACGGCTCCCAATCCAGTCGTTAAGTGATGACATGACGAATCCTACTTCCGGGCCTAAAGTAGTCTGCGTTTAATATGGCTTTTGTGTTGTTAACATGTCTAATGTTTTGTATTTTCTTCTATTTAATCTCAAAAAGCAACAACAGTCAGTGATCACTGTTGACCTCCCTCGGCTTTTATTACCGCTAATCATTTATTTAAGCTCAGTTTTTAAAACCTTAGGATGTAACTACAGCCCAACCCATGCAGCAGTATATGAATAACTAACCTCGTATCGTGGATGGATTATCTCAGTTGTTCTCCTGGCTGAGGTTTGGTCCTTTTACAGCATCCTGCCATGTGATTACATTTGTTCCTGACCACCGAGAACACTCACGTTAACTTTTATCCAGTGGAAAAAAAGTTAGCTTGTTTACATTATGCTAACATAGCTGTGTCACTAGCGGTCACGTAGCACATCATTATATACCAGCTAGCCAAACTTCAGTAACCCTACAAACGTCACTGCTGTTTAGTTTTCTGTCTTCATTTATGTTGGAGGTGATAACAGAGGTGTACGTTTTAATTTGTTTCCAAAACCCCGCAGTCAGGACATGCTATATTGTATTTAGATAGAAGCTAGCGAGCTAACTTCCTGCTAACTTCTAACTGTCATAAATTCCGTTTTCATGGATGCCTGGATGTTAAACTCAATTGTTACACCTGGTAGAGCAGAACGCTGATCATTTTATTAAAGATGAAAGACCTTAGACAGTTTTTCAACTCTCAGTAATGCCATAGTGATCGTTTGATATATGGACCTGCAGCGGAGTTTAGGCCCAGACACGGCTAGTGACGTCAGACTTAACGACCGGATATATTAGGGGTGGGACTCAATTAAAGAAATTAATGAGGCTTTGTAAGTAATTCATCTTGATTAATTGCAGTCATTCAATCGCACAAGAAAATTTGCCCCAAAGCACAAATGTCTTTTTTTTATTTAAAAGGGTTTTAGTGGGTGACAGAATCAAATAATGGACATGAATATTGTAAACTCAAGAACTTTCAGTTTATGGGGGAAAAGGATTTAAACTGCATTTCAATGCAAAACAGAGAAGAAAAAAAATAATATCCCTGGCCAAAATTGGGCAGACTTAAAAATAAAGTGTTATCTTAAGTAGTTTAAGTACATTTTCAAAATGGTATTATCTTTAAATAATAATAATAAAACTTTCAACGTAAACTGCAGTTTTTCTTCTTAAAAAAATAAGGCAGAAACAGAAAAGATTATTTGGCCAGCTTTACCTTTAAACTGTGAGTAACCTTAGTCAAAATTATTTTGTACAGTACATCGAAGATTTTAGTGCAAAACGTAAAAACCCCATTGGAGTGACAATACCTCCATGCTTTTTTACTGTCTGTCTCTTTCAGCTACTCAGTTACTTAGGCAAACTAGCCTGTTCACATTTTCAGAGCTCAAGGCAGCTCTCTTTTTTGTTACTATGTGACGTGTAAGTGAGAACAGTCTCTCACATGGGACAGAAGTGGAAGGACGAATCAAATACTTGCAGGCCAGAACAGGACCACCACTGCAGCGGGCAGTCTGTCTCGCTGATTCATAACCGTCCGATTGGGTGGCTGCCGGTGGCTGCTTGTCAGGGCCTGGCGCCTGTGGATCGGTCAGGCCCCTTCGGGTGGTGGGGTGCCCTTGGCCTCTGGGCCTGGGGCTCGGTCCACTCTGGCACACCAGGCTGCCATTGGAGCTCATGTGCACGACACTGGCCCTCTGGCTTCTGCTCCACAGCTGCTGGGTGACCCCTCATCTGGGGCTCTCCTCAGCTCTTTCCGGGATAGTGGCACGGTTGCCCCTCCATTGGTCTTTCTTGGTCTCTTGTGCTCTGAGGGTCTCTGGATGTCTGGATCTCCTCCATACCTGCTTCATGCTCTGGAGGACGGGGCTATGGCTCCCCACACCCTCTAGCGGATCGTTACATGAAGGAACCTTTTGAATACAAGCGCACTCATGCTCACAGGTGTACACATGGGTGCTCACAGATACAAATTACACCCTTTTTGGCTCCTACCTCAAAGCACACTGTGCGCTGTCAATCGCACACTGTGCGCTGTCAATCGTACAGGCTGCACAATAATATTCAATGTTATGGCCTGGCCTGTATTTATATAGCGCTTTACTAGTCCCTAAGGACCCCAAAGCACTTTACATATCCAGTCATCCATCCATACACACACACACATATTCACACACTGGTGATGGCAAGCTACATTGTAGCCACAGCCACCCTGGGGCGCACTGACAGAAGCGAGGCTGCCGGACACTGGCGCCACCGGGCCCTCTGACCACCACCAGTAGGCAACGGGTGAAGTGTCTTGCCCAAGGACACAACGACCGAGACTGTCCGAGCCGGGGCTCGATCGGCAACCTTCCGATTACAAGGCGAACTCCCAACTCTTGAGCCACGATCGCCCAAATATTAAGTATTTACTGTTATATTCAAATAGATTGTCATGATGATGCTGTTTATTATATTGCTCTCTTTTTTGTTTGTTTTCTCTCCTTTTTTTTCTCTCTCAGCAGGTGATTGATATATATATATATATATATATATATATATATATACATATATATATATATATATATTAGGGGTGCAACGATACACAAAATTCACGGTTCGGTTCGGTTCGATACTTTGGTGTCACGGTTCGATATTTTTTCGATACAAAAAAAATGTTCATGCCTTTTTAATTTGTCATTTATTAAAATTATAAATATATATTTTAACTCAAAAGTACAGTTTTTAAATTTAACCCAAACCCTAACCCTTGTGCGTGTTTTTTATTTTGACAGCGAATGCGCACCTGCGGACCACTTATGTGCAGCCCTGGTTATTTAGCTCATCATATTGCAGCCACAGAAATTCTTTTGTCCATGAAACCATAAAGCTGCACTTTCTTTTTGCCTTATAGTCTGATTTGTCATAACTTCTCCGTTTTGTGGTAAGCTTTTCTTTGGCTGTCACTTCTTCACCCTGACCTGTCTTATTTGGCTCAGCAGTACTGAAATATATATCCTGCTGCTTTTACACACGCACTCACATAAGCTCAGCGATTCTCTGCGCGATCAACCTCTCACATGTTTAAGCTTGCTGCGGGAGATTTCACTTGTCATGTTTGCATAGTAAGCTAACGAGAGGAATTGGTGCGCAAATTATCATCACTCACAGATCAGTGCTGTCGCTCTCTATACACAGTTCGCACGATTGCAAAGTGAAAGCAAAAAAACAAGCGCAAATTCAAACGCGATTTCAATATGTCACATATTGACAGTGGCTCACCGATGCCAATGACATAATTACCCAGTTACATTTCTGAAAGAATGCAAAAGCATTGACATATATTTTTCCTTCCTACAATAGCCCAACGGGCAGGGAAGAGATAGATTTTGGTAGCCCGACTGAAAAAATCGCTAGCCCCGGGACGTCGGGCTAGCGATATTGCAAGCCATGTATCTGATTGAGGAATCACTCATCTTTGGAAAAGAGAGTTTATTACAGAGAAATGTCTCTTTCCAAAATAAAAGCTATACTATCCGCTTCTTCTGGGCTATATTCTCAGCAGCATATTAAACATATCAGCTCCCCATGAGGAGAATCCTGTGCTAACAGCTGTCTAAATGACTCGGCTAAAGTTAGTAGCATGCTTGCTTGTTTTTGTCTGCTTCCACTTGTCTTTGCACTAGGATGATGTCGGCGTAAATGTGCAGTCATATTCGTTGTGTTCCCACTAGTGCTTTCAGGTTAATCTCATTGAAATGACCTTAACGCCACAACACGGCAAATCTCTGTTAACGAGCCACCGCCGATCGCCCGTGCATGGGGCTAGACGGCCAACACGTTAACGTGCTAACTGCGCTAACACACTAGTTCCCACCCATGTAATTGAGCATTGCATGGCACATCCAATATACTGTTTTACTTTAGTCCATGACGCGCTTACCTTCAGGGTCATACGTCACATGAAAACCAAAATAATTCCAAACGCCAGATCTGAATGAGGGCGGGGGAGGTCCATGTTGCAAGGAGAGCTTAACTTCTGTCTCGCTAG